GCCCAGAACCAACCATAACACGTGCCCAGAACCAACCATAACACGTGCCCAGAACCAACCATAACACGTGCCCAGAACCAACCATAACACGTGCCCAGAACCAACCATAACACGTGCCCAGAACCAACCATAACACGTGCCCAGAACCAAACACACACGTGCCCAGAACCAACCATAACACGTGCCCAGAACCAACCATAACACGTGCCCAGAACCAACCATAACACGTGCCCAGAACCAACCATAACACGTGCCCAGAACCAACCATAACACGTGCCCAGAACCAACCATAACACGTGCCCAGAACCAACCATAACACGTGCCCAGAACCAACCATAACACGTGCCCAGAACCAACCATAACACGTGCCCAGAACCAAATATAACACGTGCCCAGAACCAAACACACACGTGCCCAACACTAACACACACGTGCCCAACACTAACACACACGTGCCCAGAACCAAACACACACGTGCCCAACACTAACACACACGTGCCCAGAACCAAACACACACGTGCCCAAAACCAAACACACACGTGCCCAGAACCAACCATAACACGTGCCCAGAACCAAACACACACGTGCCCAACACTAACACACACGTGCCCAACACTAACACACACGTGCCCAGAACCAAACACACACGTGCCCAAAACCAAACACACACGTGCCCAGAACCAACCATAACACGTGCCCAGAACCAACCATAACACGTGCCCAGAACCAACCATAACACGTGCCCAGAACCAAACACACACGTGCCCAACACTAACACACCACGTGACCGACACGAAGAGAAGCCAACTATACACATCAACATGGAATGAATACGCGGGAATTTCCACTGATGAAATTATCGGTAAGAATAGAGTATATGAACAAATTCAACAGGATCCTTGATTAGGGTTCGAACCCAATGCTCTGGGTATTCCCAGACGCGCTCTAGTCCATTGTACCACGATTTGTTCATTGATACACCACGTTAATGGGATTTCTCTGTGTCATAGAGAATATATTTTACCTTATAGTTCCTTCATAGCCTCTTTATTCTCAAGGTATATTAACCTACAGCAAGAGAAAATGACAAGATATTCCTGTGTGTTGTTGCTTAAGATTCGCTATTTAGAACAAAAAGTTCCAAGTAGCACGGGCTATGGTGAGTCCGTAGGCTGCTGTTCCTGTGTGATTTCGTGATAATACCGTGTTGGAACGTCGCTAAACCAGCACCAATATGGTCATAACAGCAGTTTCATTAGCATGCAACCTGGCATATAGAGCGGCGATCTACACGAATAAAAGTCTATTCTTTGACTCAATTATGAATTTTATGTGTCTTACGGAGCTATCATCACCTTGCCTCAATCTCATAACACAAAAGACATACCAATTTGAGTGAGACATTTTTCATTCAGATATTTTATTATTTTTTATATATACAAGAGTTCCTACATACTTGGGCAGCCATTAGCACGCACAGCGTTTTGGGTTATGTCCTTAATCCTAATATTTTCTTGGAATACGACCCGCCAAATCGTTTAATAACACCCAGGTACCCATTTTACTGTTGGGTAGACAGAGGTTAGTGTTAAGGATTGGTGACTGGTATATACTCCCCGGCCAGGATACGAACCCAGGCCCAAAGCGCTTGCGATACTCCAGGCGAGCGTCTTACCAATGATACCAGCCATGGTAAGCTGCTCACCGATTTCAGTGACTTAAAAACCCCCCATACCTGAACACAGTGATCATGTGTGTAAATCACGAAAATAAACACGTGATTAAAAATGTGATAGTGTCAGACCACGGAGGAAAATTGAAACAGGAATTTCCTTAAGTACTTTCGTATATTAGTACATCTTCAGAAGGAGTGGTTTGTAGCGAGACTCCTTCTGAAGATGTATTAATATACGAAAGTACTTAAGGAAATTCCTGTTTCAATTTTCTCCGTGGTCTGACACTGTCACAGTGATCATATTTATTGCGTGATCTGACGGGGAAAAGTATTGCAAAAGAGGCTTTTTCCGGCAACCATCTTGCAATTTGGATATTTGAAATCACAACAAGATCCCAATTTGCCGACAAGTCTTTATTTAATCGTTTGGTGGTGTGTGTACTTACGAATACACATGGCTTGTTGTCCCCATCTTAAGCCCATGGAATTCCATATGCTCCGGCATTAAATACCAATTTAATTAGGATTGGAAACATGAGCAAAATTTTCAGTTTCATTTAAGACAATACATTCATTAGTTTAATGAAAAGTCTACTCCCGTTCAGTAGTTTATAAGGAAGGCGAATCAACAAGTATCTAGAAGTAAATAAATAAATAAATGTTTATTTAGGTAAGGTACATACATACAAGAGATTTTACAAAGTTTGTTGGATTAATAGATAGAGCTAGTATATACAATGCCTAAAGCCACTATTACGCAAAGCGTTTCGGGCAGGACAGTCTTCTATAGTCTTCTCTTCTTCTATAGTCTTCAATAGTCTTCTATAGTTCTTCTGTAGTCTTCTACTACAATGACGAATGAAGTAGGTGTCTTTACCACAGCTGAGCAGTCGTGAGGTACTTTGGACTGGAAAAATAAATGGTGTTTATAGCTCACAATCTTCACGAAACGATCCACGGTTCCTACACAACTGACAGAACTGGAGTCGCCTGACAGTGAGTGACTGGCAGACCTTGACAGAGAACCTGCGTGATTTGTGACTCTCTGAGAAAAATACTTCCTCCATCCCCCCCACCACTCTTATCCCCTCTTCAAGGGTCCATATTCTGCACGAAATCTTTTCCCCGAAGCAAGGTAGAAAACCACCTTTACGGCTCCACACCGTGAAGAATTCCCTCCTCTCTCCTCGCTCCTCCCGCCCCTTGCCAAGTAGTTCCTGCCATGCAGCGCCGGAGGAGGAGGAGGCCGTCGAGAGACCTCTTTAAAGGAAATGCTTTAACATCATCTTGGCGATGCTGAGAAGTCCTCGTCCCAGCTTCTAAAATCCCGAAACGAGATGGACCTCAGTTGTACCATTCACAAGACCCCCCCCCCCTTGAACAAGCCGCTGTGATGACTGTGCGAAGAATGTTACCTGAGGGAGGCTGTGTGTCGCTTGGCTGACGACCGCGATAGCAGGAGTGATCCCAGAGGTGCTGAGGCGGCTGGGATAGCAGGAGTGATCCCAGGGGTGTGGCGTTTGAGAGATATCTAGTGTCAGTTGAAGGGATGGGGAATGGGGGGCGCCCTAAGTGCTACATCTGTGGCTGGTGTAGAGTGCATTAGCTGCATCGACTTTATGTTGAGGGCATCATGTGTTGCATCATGTGCTAAGTGCATTAGATGCGGCAGCTTCGGGGGCATTTGGAGTGCACAAAAACAAATGTGATTCCGTTTTTTTAATGTCTGTTGGATAAAATGTTTTCAGTTAATAGGAGAATATTGTACCACGAGACTATGACTGCATGTTGTGTTGTGTTGCGTGGCCGTGTCTGCTGTACAACGGGGCTATCAGTGGTTAGATAGGACCCGTTGGTCCTATCTAACCACTGTCCTATCCTTCAGTGGTTAGATAGATGCATGGACCCATCCATGAACATTTGCATGGATGGGTCCTTGTATATCTCTACTGATGCAAGTATATCTGAAGTGAGCATGCATGTGTGTATGCATGTCAGTATGGAGGCATACATGTTTGTATGGGAGTATGTGTATGTGTGTATAGGAGCAGGTATGTCTGTATGGGGTGCATGAATCGAAATTAAATGTTAATTAACGCAAGTGTGTAAGCGTTTGTAATACCTTTGGTTACAGGTATTTTCCTGTAATTACGGCGGCCATTCCGCTCTGAAATATTTGTGAAATGTATGCGCGGGTGTGTACTCACCTAGTAGTGCTTGCGGGGATTGAGCTTCGGCTCTCTGGTCCCGCCTCTTAACTTGTCAGTCAACCGGTTTACAGATTCCTGAGCCCATTGGGCTCTATCATATCTACATTTCAAACTGTGTTATGGGGTCTGCCTTCACCACAACACTGTCTAATGCATTCCAGTTGTTAACTATGACACTGAAAAAGTTCTTTCTAACGTCCCTGTGGCTCATTTGGGTACTCAGTTTTCACCTGTGTCCCCTTGTTCGCGTACCACCAGTGTTGAAAAGTTTATCCTTATCTACCCTGTCAATTCCTCTGAGAATTGACTGGAATTGAATTGTGTGTGTGTGTGTGTGTGTGTGTGTGTGTGTGTGTGTGTGTGTGTGTGTGTGTGTGTGTGTGTGTGTGTGTGTGTGTGTGTGTGTGTGTGAGTGTGTGTTTGTGTGTGCTCGCACTCGTGTGTGTGTGTGTGTGTGTGTGTGTGTGTGTGTGTGTGTGTGTGTGTGTGTGTGTGGGCGCCAGCTTTCACAAACCCTGAGCGTGTCTCTCACATTCATAACACCATAAACACGAGAACTTGGGAAAGTGATGTCAACTATCGACCATGAGGAAGAAAATGAATTCACCTTCACGCATAAAAAAAATACACCATATTCGTCGGAGATAAAAAAAAATGATGCTGTGAATATCTCTCCGATAACCTAAATTCATCCTGATAACTGGACTTTACTGGAGCTAGTCCTCTCTGACCTCCATCTACCTATCCACCTCATCCCATCCCACTGGTCCCTACAGAGCCCTATCCCACCCTGCCTTAGGGGAAAGGGATGTAGTAGCATTTACCACCAATCTTTGACATTGACTCGCTACTTCTCACTAATTGCAAAAGTTGCGGTCAGGGTGTGAAATGTTGCCCTGTAGGGGTAGGAGGGAGGGAGTGAGGGAGGGAGGTAGGTAGGGGGGTGGAAAGAGGGAAAGGAATGAGAGAGATGAGACTATTAAGGGAGAAAAAAGGTACCTCCATAACTCATCAACACTAATGCCAAATGGGAACTCTTCCATCGGCAGTGAGTCTTGTTGATCTCTGGTCTTGACTTGTTATAGTCATTTTGCTCCCTGAGGGTGAGGACTGACTTGTTGTCGTCGGTCCTCCCGGGCTTGTCGTCGGTCCTCCCGGGCTTGTCGTCGGTCCTCCCGGGCTTGTCGTCGGTCCTCCCGGGCTTGTCGTCGGTTCTCCCGGGCTTGTCGTCGGTCCTCCTGGGCTTGTCGTCGGACCTCCCGGGCTTGTCGTCGGTCCTCCTGGGCTTGTCGTCGGACCTCCCGGGCTTGTCGTCGGTTCTCCCGGGCTTGTCGTCGGTCCTCCCGGGCTTGTCGTCGGTCCTCCCGGGCTTGTCGTCGGTCCTCCTGGGCTTGTCGTCGGTTCTCCCGGGCTTGTCGTCGGTCCTCCCGGGCTTGTCGTCGGTCCTCCCGGGCTTGTCGTATGATAACTGCTGAACTTATTTGCCTGCTTTCTTGCTTGTGGGTGTTCTTATTTACGGTACCTAAAATGCACATTTAATTTTTTCGTCCCAGATGTTCTATTCCTTCTATTAAGGAGGAGTGGGAGAAGGAGTAGGAGGAGAAGGACGGGGAGGAGAAGTGAGAGAAGTGAGAGAAGGAGGAGGAGATGGAAGACAACGTTGAGTTCTAAATGACTGATGACGATATCTTTCCCCAGGAGACAAGAGAAGGTCAAGGGAGAGCTTACGTGTCGTCGTAATGTGAGGTGTCTGATTTGTGCCCATTGGTTACCCATACCCTTTGGTTACCCCTTTGGTTACCCCTTTGGTTACCCCTTTGGTTACCCCTTTGGTTACCCCTTTGGTTACCCCTTTGGTTACCCCTTTGGTTACTCCACTCTTGCCTATATACCAACCATGTTAACAGCAGACTGGGTCACACCAGCAACTTCACGACACTGGTTTATAGATTGATTACCAAATTGGTATTTACCAACTGAATTATTTCTAATTTGCAAAATTTGCCTTTTCTTCTCGATAAAATTTTACTAGAAAAAAATTAATAGTTTCATTTTACTTGAAAATTTTGCCAGGTTAAGTTTGCCAATTTATTTTTCTCGCTGCATTTGAATAATTTAGCTCGTTTGCTTAGCGTAATATGGTAATTTAGTCTGACCAAATGCTGCCAATCACCAGTATAACAGTTATAGAATGAGTACGGAAAAATGTAAAATTCATGGTGTTATCTGAATTATTTGTCTAAGGCGAAGTATTTGAATGGTTTTTCGAATCCAATTACCAGTTTATTTGACCTCCAGATTGAGGGCTCGGCCCAGGGAAGTTAATAGAAAAAAAAACGAATAAAAAAGAGAGAGGGGGAATACGCCCTAAATTCTGACATAGACCACCAAGTGTATTTTCGCTGGGGTCTCTTCCCCCAGCTCCTTTAATGGCTAGAATTGGGCCACTTCGTCCCATGCCTCCCAGGTCTGTTGCTATTGTTGTTGTTATAGATTTAGCTACGTTGCACCAAAAGTTGCAAGTAGCACGGGCTATGGTGAGCCCGTAGTGGACTTACCTGGCTCAGGAGTAGGGCTGTACCTTACTGCTGCTATCATGGGTCTAATCTACTTATGCTTCTTGACCGTCTGACTGTGTCATCTCTGTTCCCGACTATGTACCTGTGGTAATGAATATTATATGAATATATATATATTCATTATAAGAATGAATATATAATATATATATTAAGATATATATAGTATATAATATATATATTAAGAATATATTTGGTCAAATGTTCTTCGCCAAAATATCATCCTGATTAGAAGCTGAGATGAAAGTCTCGTACTAATCACACACTCAGACCTTGACAAAGCACTCAGAAAGTGTGAAAGACTCGGTGTAAATCCCTTACATAAATTTCACAATTACACAAGTGAAGGTTTTTATCTCATATTTGTTATTGAATATGAGAGAAAGGGTCAGATGATCAGTGATTCTAGCACGAATCTTCTTTATGTTTCATATGTTCTTCTTCAGTATAGGACGAAGTTGAATGATTAAATCTCTTAAGTTCATATTACAGTTTTAGTATTGATTGATACTAAGAAATGCGTTTCATTGACCATGTCATCATTTTCAAAGGCAGAGTGAATACAATCTAACTGCTGCAACTGAATATATATATATATATATATATATATATATATATATATATATATATATATATATATATATATATATATATATATATATATATATATAACAGTGGGTGAGGTGAAAGTGAATCAATTAAAAAATATATATTTGTCTTTAATTCATATACACCATTATTCACTGATCACGGGAAAATTAACAGAAATTTCCTGCTATCCATAATTTGTCCGTATTCCTATAAAACAGACAACCCCCCCCCCCCCTTAATAGCTTTAAGGGTTTCTCTTACCCCGCCAACCCCCCCCCCCTCTCTCTCTCCCAGAGTGAAGGGGTAACTATTCCATTTTTTTTAGTATTCCACACTGTCGCTCCTCTCACCAGCGACCACCAGATATTATACAATTATGTATTTTTTTTATTGGAGAGAGAGACTCATTTTTGGGTGTCACATTAAGGTCGTTCTTCTATATCGGCTGGTATTAAAGCCATGTGTGAGTGAGTGTGTGTGTGTGTATGTGTGTGTGTATGTGTGTGTGTGTGTGTGTGTGTGTGTGTGTGTGTGTGTGTGTGTGTGTGTGTGTGTGTGTGTGCGTGTGCGTGTCTTCACACGCAAGTCCGTGCGCATTTCAGAATTAATCCAATACCAGTAAGAAATCCTCCGCAACAGAGGTAAATAACTGAATATCAATACAAATCCACAATAATACATTAGTGACCGCAATTCAATACAGGTGACTATAACATTCACCCGTAACGACAAGGAATTTTGCCGTACCATTGGGTCGTAAGTAATCCCCTGTCCGCAATAACTGCCAGTTTACAGCGCTCTATAACTGCCGGTTGCTACCATGTTACAACCCACCAATAACACCAAGTCAAAAGTGAACTCTTGCCCACCGGGTTATTGCGACTCAACAACTTGGCCAGGTAACAAGGGGGGGGGAGATAATGATAGTTATTAGTGTGTTTCTTTATGCAGTATCTTAAGTAATATATATACGCGTGTATTCACTAACCAGGGTAGTCATCTTTTAGGATTAGGGGACTGTGGTTAGGTTATTTCCCTTTGGGTGCTCAGTTTAAGTTATTCCTCTGATGTTATTCAGTTTAAGTTGAGGTAATACCTTAGAATGGTTGGCACAGTGACCTCTTTCAGAACAATTGACTGCCGCTCAAAAGAGTGTTGTTCATTATTACCTGATCAACCAGGCTGTGACTCATACGTCAGGCTGCGAGCAGCCGCGTCCAACAGCCTGGTTGATCAGTCCTGCAACCAGGGGGCCTGGTCGACGACCGGGCCGCGGGGACGCTAAGCCCCGGAAGCACCTCAAGGTAACCTCAAGGTATTCATAATGGCACGTTTCACGGGTGCTGTCAGAGTCTGCTCGATCCGGACAGTGATTCAACAATGTCTTTCTATCGGAAGAGGCAACAAATTGCTTCAATTTCAACAGTCTATTCCCAATTTATGCAACTGCTAGTGTGTGTATATATATATATATATATATATATATATATATATATATATATATATATATATATATATATATTCATCATATTATACATATTTTTATTGTGGGTCTAATTATAAAGTTTGCCCCCAGATCTTTCTTGCTGTAAAATAAGACATGATCACTACGTACAAAATACCGAGGACTGGAATAGACTAAAGTCGGGGTGTTCTGGTGATGGGTGGTGGTGTTCTGTGATGGGTGGTAGTGTTCTGGTGGAATACAGAGTAATAGAAGCGTTGGGATATAGAGCTTTCAAAATAATTATTTTATGTATATTTTCAGATTCGTTAATGCTTTTCAGTGAAGTTGTAAAATAGAGCTATTACCGTCCCCTCATTATGTATGTATGTATGTATGTATGTATGTATGTATGTATGTATGTATGTATGTATGTATGTATGTATGTATGTATGTATGTATGTATGTATGTATATGTATTTTGGATGTTGCAATACAACCTCCAAGTATTGAGGTTACACTGCTATCCATGCAAGAATATATGAAAAAACTGTATACTTGCATGTATATAGGTGAGCATATAGGTAAACATTCTTTTATGAAATTTTACCAACAATTACCTTCCTCGTAAGTCATTGCCACATCTCAGCTGGTGATGATTGACGAGGGTTACTTAATTACCATTACCAAACAGGCAGTGATCTCGTTGACTTCAGAGTAACCAGCCCCTACCCCGAGGGGAAGGGGGGGAATTATCAGGGGGAAAGCGCTAAGCCATTACGACTATATAGCACTAGGAAGATATCAGGATAAGGATTTGGAATGGGACGAAAGGAGGGGTTGGGGCAGGAGCAATGGTGCCCAACTAATTCTACACGGGTAATGTCTATGAGAAGATATTAACATTACTAATAACAAACATATTACGTTCAAGTAGCACCAGTGACATCATTCCTGTGAAGTCTCCACCTTGCGTCGCTAAACTGACTTCATACCACTCAGTGGGACCATTCCTGTGATGTCACCACACTGAACCACACCTAGTCAATACCCACACCAATCACACACAGAGATCACACTAACGTGATGCATCAAATGACGCAGGTTCGAATCCTCGTCACGGCCCTTGTGGATTTGTTCACCCTCACCAATGTTCCCGATTACACATAGTACACTCTCTCCTAATCTTACACCCTCATACACTGGATCTCCCCGCCCACCCTCCCCAATCCCTCCACAATGACTTCACATATTGCGTCGGCTGGCGTGTAGATACACTATGGACTGTTTTACACCCGTAAATACAAAAAAGAGTCCGTATTTTGTAGTCATGTAACTGTAAAACTAGAGGCAACTGAGGGCCACACGTTGACAACACCTATATCAAAATTATTTTAGGGTTGATATAAGGATTCCTAGGTCTAGTGACAAGATTAGGTCCTGAGACAAGATTAAGTTAAGGCTGATATTGTTTATCTTAGGTGTAGGTTAACTTCGAATACTTTTATTCTAACTAGTTCCAGTTACCCCTTAGGAATACAAGTTCAATAGTAAATGTGAACTGATATGTGATAGCAAGAGGCAAGAATGTGTACACATGCCGCCCAGTTGCTATATATACTAGCAATTGCTATGCTATATATACTATATATATTCTGAAGGATGGCGTGGAATTCCATTAATCTCTGTACTACATAGTTCGTATCTCAATGTGTAGCATTCACATATATCACTTTGTATATACCTAAATGTTACACATTGAGACGATTTTGGACGTTTTGATGTTCTGTTTAATAGTGACTTTAATTGTTTTTATTATAATTATTATTATTATTGATTTATTTGTTTATTTTATTATTATTGTTTATTTTTATTTGGGGTTTGT